CAGTAGCACCGTCAGGCTCAGCACCTCCAGCCCCTGCAGCTCCAGTACCTCCAGTACGAGCACCTCCGGGACCAGCACCACTCCCAGCTCCAGTGACGGCAGTAGAAGTACCTCCAACGGCAGATCGCCGAGCTCCAGAAGCGCGACCCTGACGGCGACCGTACCAGACGTGCAGCTGCTGAAAGGTGAGAGGTACACGTGGACGAAGGCGGCTACTCCAAGGAGACTGCGCAACAGCAGACTCAGAACCCTCAGCGCCAGCACCCGCAGCAGCTCCAGGACCTCCTGCGCCAGTACCCTCAGCAGCTCCAGAACCTCCAGCTCCAGAACCTCTAGCACCAGCACCCGCAGCAGCTCCAGAACCTCCAGCTCCAGCACCCTTTGCAGCTCCTGAACCTCCAGCAGAAACAATTCCAGTAGCAGAGTCACCGGCTCCAGCGCCTCTCTCAGCAAGGCCCCTAGCTCCAACAGCGCGACCCTGATGGCCAACGTACCACTCACGCAGCTGCTGTGGAGAAAGAGGGAGTCGACGACGAGAGTGCAGCGGCGAGGTACCAGCGGAGCGACTACGGAGACGGCTGCCCCAGGGAGACCGCTCACCAGACGCCTCAGCGCTCCTAGGTGCAGCACCCCCAGACTCAGTACCCCCAAGCTCAGCACCCCCAGACTCCTCACGCCCAGACTCAGCACCCCAAGTCTCCGCACCCCCAAGCTCCGCACCCCCAGGCTTCGCAACCCCAGGCTCAGCACCCCTAGGCTCAGCACCCCCAGGCTCCGCACCCCAAGGCTCAGCACCCCCAGTAGCAGCACCCCGAGCAGGACCACCCTCAGCAGGACCTGAGTCACCACTGACCTCAACCGGCGCAGGCAAGAGAGGAGGGTCTACCTGAGACACACCTGAAGGAGCAGGACTGGGAGTGGGGAGGGGGTCTACCTGGGGAGCACCTGGAGCGAGGAAGAGCGGCAGGGGGGGGAGAGGGGCAGTGCGGTAGGGGAAGAGACGGTAAAAGGGAACTGACTTGTCAAACGTGACGTCCTGAGAGGGGAAGACACGGCACGAGGTGGGGTGGTAAAACTGCCAACCAGGCGCGTCAGGGACAAAGCCAAGGAAGACACAGGGAACAGCGCGGGCGGAGATCTTGTCCGCGGTGGTATCGCGGACAAAGGCACGAGCACCCCAGACCCAGAAACGCGACGCATCGCCAACCTTCCCCGTCCACAGCAGTGTGGGCGAGGTCTCCGGCAAGGAGACACGGGGCCAGAGGTTGAGCTGATGCGCGGCGTACCGGACCGCAAACGGCCACAGAAAATGGGGGGCAGCTACATGGATCATGGAGGTACGAGCGACCTCCATGACCAAGCCAATGCGGCGCTCAGCAACCCCATTCTGCTGCGGAGAGGCCGGAAGCGTGAACGACTGGGTGATGCCGTGCTCCTCACAGAAGGCTGCCAAGAGGTCGGAAGAAAACTCACCACCTCTGTCAGAGTGCAGATGCAGGACGGGAAACTCCGTCCCGAACCGCTCGCGGAGCTGGAGACGAGTAGCGCGGATCCAAGGGTTCAAAACATCAGGGACCTCACCCTTGGTGCGCAAGGAGAAAACCGTGGTGTAACGCGTGTAGTCGTCGACGACCAGCAGGAAGTACCGCTCGTGGCCCTGTCCATGGACGCGGGCTGGGCCCCACACGTCCAGGTGGAGAGTATGCAGGGGAGCCTCTGTGGGAGGGAACGAGGAGGAGTGAGGAGCGGCGCGCTGCCGCCCCTCGACACAGGGAAGACAGGGAGGAGCAGGCGAGGGTGGGAGGGGAGGGAGAACCCTGGGGAGACCAGAGACAAGGACACGACGGTGCATGCTGTGAAGGCCCTGCACCGAGGGGTGACCAAGGTGGTGGTGCCAAAGGAGGGTCTGGTGCGACAAGGCGCGACAAGAGCAGGGGGCCGACAACTGACCTGACGCAGATGCAGACGCAGACGCAGCTACCTGAGGGAAATCAGTGGTCAGTGTGTATAGGCCCGACCCCGGCTGCCGAGTGAAGGTAGCCAGGTGATGACCCGTCTGAGCACACATGCAGTGTGTCACACGCTCGTAGGCAGGGGTGAACTAGTGAGCACCCGCGTCCTGGAGCGCAAAACCCGCCACCAAGTTTGTAGAGAACGAGGGGAGATAAAGACCCGACAGTGTGTCGGACGGGACAGCAGGACAAGGGAGGACAGTGGAGGAGGTCGAACGGACTGGACCCCCAGAGGGGTCTGCCAGGGAGACTGGAACCGGCCGACTGAGCGGCGTGACGGTGGTGCTGTCACGAAAGAAGGAGCGAGAAGCACCAGAGTCAAGTGTGAAGGTGTACAAGGCCTGAGCAGGTGCAGTACCAGAGAGAGCAGACTCACCAACACCTGGAGCAGCAGCCTCACCAGTTCCTAGAGCAGGAGACACACTAGCCCCTAGAGCAGCAGCCTCACCAGCACCTAGAGCAGCAGGCTCTATACCTGGGTCAGGCGGTACGCACAGCTAACACGCACGGTCAGCACTAGTAGGCAATGCATACATGGCAGTGAGAATAGCATCATAGTCAAGAGCAAATATATCTACCCTCTGCCCAAGTAGCTCCACCCAGTCGGGGAGCTCAGCCTCGTCGCCAAACTCGGTACGCCGGGCGTCGCTCAGACGGGCGAAGCAGCGGGACTGTGTGTGACTAAGCGTCCCGCAAAGCCTGACCAGTCCGAGCACTAGTGCGAATGACGTACGGGCAGCGAACGGTACTCAGATACCCTCTAGTATGAGCGTACCACTCACGACGCTGCTGGGGCGTGTGAGACTCGCGCGGACGTCGTTGGAGCTGCATCTAGCCACCGCCAGTAGCAGCAGTAGTAGTAGTAGCAGTAGTAGCAGCAGTAACAGCAGTAGCAGCAGTGGCAGCGCGGCCACCCCTACAACCCCAACTAGCGTACCACTCACTAAGCTGCTGGGGCGTGAGGGACTCACGCGGACGTCGCTGGAGCTGGATCTGGCCACTGTCAGTAGCAGCAGTAGCAGTAGCAATAGCAGTAGCAGTAGTAGCAGCAGCAGCGCGTGCAGGGCAGGCGCGGCAGGCAGGCAGGCAGGCCGGCAAGCAGGCAGGCAGGCAGGAGGCAGGCAGGCAGGAGGCAGGCCGGCAGGCAGGCAGGCTGGCGGCATCGCACGAACAAGGTAGGTGCTCACCAGTGGCAGGCAGGGCCGGCGCTCGGCGGGGCCGCAACAGCGGCCGCAGAGTAGGGCCGCGTCGGCGGTAGGGCAGGTCCGCGACAGGTGCTGCAGGGCGGGGCCGTGACAGCTGCAGGGCGGGGCCGTGACAGCTGCAGGGCGGGGCCGCAACGGCGGCAGAAGGCTCCGCGGCAGCTGCTGCAGGGCAGGGCAGGACCGCGGCAGGAGGCTCCACGGCAGCTGGTGCAGGGTGGGGCCGCGACTGCGGCAGAAGGCTCCGCGACAGCTGCTGCAGGGCAGGGCCGCGACGGCGGCAGGAGGCTCCGCGGCAGCTGCTGCAGGGCAGGGCCGCGACTGTAGTACGGCGCTCCGTGGCAGCTGCTGCAGGAGCGACGGTGGCAGTCAGGCAGGGGCGGCGTCCAGGGGCAGCCGCGAGGAACAGAGGCAGCCGCGGTGCGCGAGGCTGCAGCGCGCTGCGCGAGCTGCGAACGCGGCGCGCGGGGCTGCAGCGCGATGCGCTAAACCCTAAACGCGGCGCGCGGGCAGCGAACGCGACGCGCGGGGCTGCAGCGCGACGCGCAGGCAGCGGGCGCGACGCGCAGGGCTGCAGCACGACGCGCGGGCAGCGGACGCGACGCGCGGGGCTGCAGTGCGACGCGCTTGCTGCGAACGCGACGCGCGGGGCTGCAGCACAACGCAAGGGCAGCGGGCGCGTCGCGTGGGGCAACGACCTGGCCTGACGGGCTTGCAGGGGCGGCACGCGGGCCTGACGGGCCTGCAGGGGCGGCTAGCGGGCCTGACGGGCCTGCAGGGGCGGCTAGCGGGCCTGACGGGTCTGCAGGGGCGGCTAGCGGGCCTGCAGGGGCGGCTAGCAGGCCTGACGGGCCTGCAGGGGCGGCGCTCTGGCCTGACGGGCCTTCAGGGGCGGCTCGCGGGCCTGACGGGCCTGCAGGGACGGCTAGTGGGCCTGACGGGCTTGCAGGGGCGGCTCGCGGGTCGTACGGGCCTGCAGGGACGGCGCGCTGGCCTAGGGCAGCAGTAGGCAGCGCGAGGGCTGCAGGACGGCGCGTGCAGTGCAGCACGTCACAAGGCGAGGCAGGCAGGTAGGCAGGCGCACGTGGCGTAGCGTGGTAACCGCAACGGTAGGTGGGCCCGAAAAAAACGGTCCTACGGACCTAGTGCTCTGAAACCATGTTAGAATCTAGCAGCAGGAATGGGTGCATTGCATTGAACCATGATGTGGGTACATATGCTAACCCTAATTTGGGTTGTACCCCTTATGGGCTACCCCACTACAGCCTACACAACACAAGCATTATCATAGTTCGACAAACAGTGCTGACTGTGGTGCTACAGTGGTGTACGCGCTGAGCGGGGACGCGAAGTAAGGAAAAGGAATTTTCCTTACACTTGCTAAACTTTCGTTATTCATACCGTTAAGACGAATGATGCTGGAGTCACAGCAATTCAGTATAACCAACAACAAATGACAGCGGGGAACTCTACCCTGTCATTTCCTCTGCATCATCTCCTGCTGTTGCAGTACACATGCACCAAAATCCTGAAACATATCTCATGGCAAGAACCAGCCAGTGTCCCTTGCCTTCTCTCGTGCCTTCTCCAGTGTGAAGCTACCACATTCAATAGGATATCAGCAACCAAATTTCTTTTTCCTTTCATGAAAACAGGCCAGTGTGTCCTGTCCTGTACCGTATTTTCTCGCATCTTCTCCTGCCGCTGCAGCACCAGAGGTTCAGGGCTACAGAAAGACCGTCAGCGCGCTGTCAAATTCCTTACAACCAGCAACAAGGAAAGAATCTCATGAAAACAGGCCAGTGTGTCCTGTCTTTTCTCGCATCTTCTCCTGCCGCTGCAGCTCCTTCAGAGGGTCAGGGCTCCGGAAAGACCTTCGGCGCCGGCTGCATACAAAGGAGTGAGAAAATGGAGGGACACAACGAGACATGGTGCAATGTAAGGCTGCCACGGAGAGAAACATTTACCATTCTGAAGGATGGGATGCGATAATTTACAGGCATACCGTTCTTTTTCATTCAAGATGGGAAACTCCGGCATGTCTTGCTGCGCCTTCAGCAGAGGCTCCTCCCTAAACCATGATTGGTTTGCAAACGAGTGGCACAATACCAATATGAAGCATGGGAAGAGAAGACAGGCGTACCGTTCTTTCTCGTTCAAGATGGGAAACTCGGGCATGTCTTGCTGCGCCTTCAGCAGAGGCTCCTCCCTAAACCATGACTGGTTTGCAAATGAGTGGCACAATACCAATATGAAGCATGGGAAGAGAAGACAGGCGTACCGTTCTTTCTCGTTCAAGATCGGAAACTCGGGCATGTCTTGCTGCGCCATCGGCAGCGGCTCCTCCCTAAACCACGCGTGATTCGCCGCATCCGCAGCACTGATCCGACGGCTGGGATCGCACGCGAGCATCCGCGACAGCAAATCAAACCCCGCCTCTGACAGCGTCGGCTTCCCGCCAATCGAAATCGCCGGAAACAGCTCCCTCAGCCGATTCACCGTGAAAGACGGAAACCGGGCTCCCTTTTTGCACGCGGGCAGCTCCGAAAACCCTCGCCAGGTGTCGTCAGTGGGGGTGCCGAGGAGCGAGAAGATCTTTTGCAGCTGCTCTATTTCGGATTCTCCTTTGAAGAGTGGTTTCTTGGTCATTATTTCGGCCATGATGCATCCCATGGACCACACGTCGATGGCCGTGGAATACTCCTTTTGGCCCAGCAGCAGCTCAGGTGCTCTGGCGGGCGGTGGGTGATGGGTGATGGGAGGAGAGAGAACGAAGTGAGTGGGGGGGATGAGAAGAGAAATGAGCGCATTTGTGGAAAATCACCACTCACCCGTACCACAATGCATCCTAGAGACCACCCATCTATGGCTATTTGTGGAACACTCCTTTTGCCACAGCAGCAGCTCTGGTATTGGCATACTTGTGGCACAGTGTAAGGAACACTCACCGTTACCATAGGGTAACCACAGGCTGTGTATACAGGCGCAGCGGATTCCCATACTGCCGCACCAGACCAAAGTCATATCTTGATCCCCCCGGCATTGTTCATGAGCAGATTCACGCATACCATGCACCTGCAGCCCAGCACACCTATAGCAAAGAAGACTCCTGCAGGGTACCCCAGAGTAAAACTGAAAATCACCACTCACCGGTACCACAGAGTAACCACAGGCTGAGTGTACGGCCGCAGCGGCGGATCCCCATACCGCCTCGCCAGGCCATAATCACATATCCTGATCCCCATACCGCCTCGCCAGGCCATAATCACATATCCTGATCCCCATACCGCCTCGCCAGGCCATAATCACATATCCTGATCCCCATACCGCCTCGCCAGGCCATAATCACATATCCTGATCCCCATACCGCCTCGCCAGGCCATAATCACATATCCTGATCCCCATACCGCCTCGCCAGGCCATAATCACATATCCTGATCCCCATACCGCCTCGCCAGGCCATAATCACATATCCTGATCCCCATACCGCCTCGCCAGGCCATAATCACATATCCTGATCCCCATACCGCCTCGCCAGGCCATAATCACATATCCTGATCCCCATACCGCCTCGCCAGGCCATAATCACATATCCTGATCCCCATACCGCCTCGCCAGGCCATAATCACATATCCTGATCCCCATACCGCCTCGCCAGGCCATAATCACATATCCTGATCCCCATACCGCCTCGCCAGGCCATAATCACATATCCTGATCCCCATACCGCCTCGCCAGGCCATAATCACATATCCTGATCCCCATACCGCCTCGCCAGGCCATAATCACATATCCTGATCCCCATACCGCCTCGCCAGGCCATAATCACATATCCTGATCCCCATACCGCCTCGCCAGGCCATAATCACATATCCTGATCCCCATACCGCCTCGCCAGGCCATAATCACATATCCTGATCCCCATACCGCCTCGCCAGACCATAATCACATATCCTGATCCCCATACCGCCTCGCCAGGCCATAATCACATATCCTGATCCCCATACCGCCTCGCCAGGCCATAATCACATATCCTGATCCCCATACCGCCTCGCCAGGCCATAATCACATATCCTGATCCCCATACCGCCTCGCCAGGCCATAATCACATATCCTGATCCCCATACCGCCTCGCCAGGCCATAATCACATATCCTGATCCCCATACCGCCTCGCCAGGCCATAATCACATATCCTGATCCCCATACCGCCTCGCCAGGCCATAATCACATATCCTGATCCCCATACCGCCTCGCCAGGCCATAATCACATATCCTGATCCCCATACCGCCTCGCCAGGCCATAATCACATATCCTGATCCCCATACCGCCTCGCCAGGCCATAATCACATATCCTGATCCCCATACCGCCTCGCCAGGCCATAATCACATATCCTGATCCCCATACCGCCTCGCCAGGCCATAATCACATATCCTGATCCCCATACCGCCTCGCCAGGCCATAATCACATATCCTGATCCCCATACCGCCTCGCCAGGCCATAATCACATATCCTGATCCCCATACCGCCTCGCCAGGCCATAATCACATATCCTGATCCCATACCGCCTCGCCAGACCATAATCACATATCCTGATCCCCATACCGCCTCGCCAGGCCATAATCACATATCCTGATCCCCATACCGCCTCGCCAGGCCATAATCACATATCCTGATCCCCATACCGCCTCGCCAGGCCATAATCACATATCCTGATCCCCATACCGCCTCGCCAGGCCATAATCACATATCCTGATCCCCATACCGCCTCGCCAGGCCATAATCACATATCCTGATCCCCATACCGCCTCGCCAGGCCATAATCACATATCCTGATCCCCATACCGCCTCGCCAGGCCATAATCACATATCCTGATCCCCATACCGCCTCGCCAGGCCATAATCACATATCCTGATCCCCATACCGCCTCGCCATGCCATAATCACATATCCTGATCCCCATACCGCCTCGCCAGGCCATAATCACATATCCTGATCCCCATACCGCCTCGCCAGGCCATAATCACATATCCTGATCCCCATACCGCCTCGCCAGGCCATAATCACATATCCTGATCCCCATACCGCCTCGCCAGGCCATAATCACATATCCTGATCCCCATACCGCCTCGCCAGGCCATAATCACATATCCTGATCCCCATACCGCCTCGCCAGGCCATAATCACATATCCTGATCCCCATACCGCCTCGCCAGGCCATAATCACATATCCTGATTCCCATACCGCCTCGCCAGGCCATAATCACATATCCTGATCCCCATACCGCCTCGCCAGGCCATAATCACATATCCTGATCCCCATACCGCCTCGCCAGGCCATAATCACATATCCTGATCCCCATACCGCCTCGCCAGGCCATAATCACATATCCTGATCCCCATACCGCCTCGCCAGGCCATAATCACATATCCTGATCCCCATACCGCCTCGCCAGGCCATAATCACATATCCTGATCCCCATACCGCCTCGCCATGCCATAATCACATATCCTGATCCCCATACCGCCTCGCCAGGCCATAATCACATATCCTGATCCCCATACCGCCTCGCCAGGCCATAATCACATATCCTGATCCCCATACCGCCTCGCCAGGCCATAATCACATATCCTGATCCCCATACCGCCTCGCCAGGCCATAATCACATATCCTGATCCCCATACCGCCTCGCCAGGCCATAATCACATATCCTGATCCCCATACCGCCTCGCCAGGCCATAATCACATATCCTGATCCCCATACCGCCTCGCCAGGCCATAATCACATATCCTGATTCCCATACCGCCTCGCCAGGCCATAATCACATATCCTGATCCCCATACCGCCTCGCCAGGCCATAATCACATATCCTGATCCCCATACCGCCTCGCCAGGCCATAATCACATATCCTGATCCCCATACCGCCTCGCCAGGCCATAATCACATATCCTGATCCCCATACCGCCTCGCCATGCCATAATCACATATCCTGATCCCCATACCGCCTCGCCAGGCCATAATCACATATCCTGATCCCCATACCGCCTCGCCATGCCATAATCACATATCCTGATCCCCCCCGCGTTGTTCATGAGCAACGACTCACTGTGCAGAAGAAAACATTTGTGATATGAGTTGGCTCGTACCTGTACCATAGGGTAGCCACAGGCTGGGTGTACGGCTGCAGCGGATCCCCATACTGCCTCGCCAGGCCAAAGTCACGTCACACCTGCAGTACACAGACACTTGTACCGCAGGGAAAAGAACACCTACCTGTACCACAGGGTAACCACGGGCTGAGTGTACGGCCGAAGCGGATCCCCATATTGTCTCGCCAGGCCAAAATCGCATATCTTGATCCCCCCCGCGTTGTTCATGAGCAGATTCGACGTCTTCAGATCCCGATGCAGCACCCAATTCGCATGCATGTAGCTTATCCCCTCTAGAAGCTGCTTCACTAAACACTTCACCTCCGCCTGCCCGAAGGGCCTTGGCATTGCGTCTAAAAGCACCTTTAAGTCATGCTCTACATATTCCATCACCATGAAAACCCGATCCATGGATGAATTAACTACCATCTCCTTCACCCCCACGATCGCCGGGTGGTCTAGAGACAATAGTATATTAATCTCCCGGAGCGACGTCAGCGGGAAACCCTCTCGCTCCTTCTCCATCTTGACTCGTTTGAGAGCATAAATCTCCCCGGTTTCTTTGTCCCGAGCGCGATGCACCACACCGTACACGCCCTCCCCGAGCACGTCGAGCCGTTCAAAAGAGTCCACACTGCGACAGCCGCCGAATATGGCTTTCACCGCTGCTGCATCGGCTGCTGCTTCTGCTGCTGCTTCTGCTGCTCCTGCTTCTGACAACGATGGATCATAGGGAAGAGGAGACGTGGAGCTCTCCCGGAACTTATCATCCCTCCTTCGATCATCAATCCCTTCGTTATCTCCTTTTCTATCCACATCACCCTCATCCTCGTCCTTACCCTCACCATCAGCCTCCCTCTCTGCCTTCTTCCTCCCCTCTTCGATACCTCCCCCACCTTCTCCTTCCTTCACACTCTCACCCCCTCTACTGCCAACCTCTTCACTATCACCACCCTCCCTCCACCTCCTCTTGCTCCTACCTCCCTCCTGCTCCTCCCCTTTTCCCTTCCCCTTCCCGTTCCCCTCCTCATCTCCCTCCCCCTCCCCCTCCCCCTCCCCCTCCATAGTATTAGCCCCCCCGTCTCTCCTTCCACCCCTATCATTAGGGGTATTATCCCCCGTTCTACCCTCCTCATCCGGGGTACTAACCCTCATTCTACCCTCCTCATCCGGGGTATTAACCCTCGCTCTACCCTCCTCATCTGCTCCCTCTCCTGCTCCTTCCCCTGCTCCCTCCTCCTCCTCCTCTTCATCCAACCATCTGCTACCCCATTTCGAACCACCCACTCCCTCCGTTCGCTCCCTTCCCTCCTCCTCCTTCCCCCCTTCCTCCTCCCCATGCCCTGCCGCCATATCCCCCACCTCACCTTCCTCTCTCCACCCTTCCTTCTCTCCCTCTCCGCCACTCATCTCCTCCTCTCCCCCCCTTGCTCTCCCCTTTCTCCCTTCATCCCCCTTTCCCTTCCCTTCCATCCCTTCTTCCATATCTCCCACTTCATCATCTCCCCACCTGCTCCTCTTTACACTTCCCCCTACTCTCTTCCTCTCCTCTCCTTCCTCCAATTCCTCTCCATCCTCCCTCCGACCTCTCTTCTTACCCCCCTCCCCCTCCCCGTCCTCCTCTTCCCCCTCCCCCCACTCCGCCCCTCCCTCCCCCGCCTCTCTCTCTCTCCGTGCCAGCTCAGCAATTAGCCTCATCCTCTCTCTCTTCCTAGCTTCCAATTCCTCCTCTACCGCACTTCTATTCCCCTTGCTCAATAACCCTGTTCCTTGTCCTCCTTCCGCAAGGGCACTGCTGCTCTTGTCATCTCCAGGCCTCAATCCCCCACTTCTCACATCCCCACTCCGCGCATCCCCCCCCTCCCTCCCTCCATCATAACCCATGCCTCTTGCCATACCTCTACCCATGCCCCTACCCATGCCTCTGCCCATCTCCCCATCCATACCACCCCCCCCCCTACCCCCATCCCTACCCATGCCTCTTCCCATTCCCCTCCCCAAGTCGTTCATACCCCCCCTCCCCATTCCCCTGCCCATTTCCCCATCCATGCCCCCCCTCCCCATTCCCCTGCCCATCCCGCCCCTCCCCACGCCCCACTCCCTGCCTCGCCCCCTCCCCGTCATAGCCCCATCCCCAGCCCTCCATGTTCCCTCCCCTTGCCACTCCTCCCCAGGCCTCCGGGTTTCATCCCCCTTCCACCCATCCCCGGGCCTCCTTGCCCCATCCCCCTTCCACCCCTCACGGCTCCTCCCTTCACCAGCCCTCCCCTCTGCCCACTCCTCGCCAGGTCTCCCATCCCCCCCTTGATCTCTCAAAAAGCTCCTGCCTCTCCCACCCACAGGCCCCCCTCTTCTCATCTCCCCTTCCTCGTCCCTCCGCTCGTCCTCATCTCCTGTGTCCTCTCCTCGCCTCTCCTCCCCTCTCCTCTCCTGTTCTCCTGCCTTTCGAAAAGAAGGCTTCTGAAACTCGCTGCTGCCGCCCCTGCCCCTCCCGTCCCCACTTCCCCTCCCATCCCCACTGCCCCTCTCATCCCCTCTCCCCTCCTTCTGTCCTCTCCCTTCCACCCCCTCTGACCCACCATGATCCTCCTCTGAACCATCCCTTCTCACTCTCCCCTCCCTCCTCTTCGCCTCCCTCCCTCTCTCTTCTCCTCCTCTCTCATCCCTACCCATCCCCCTCCTCCCTCTCTCATCTCGCTCCCCCTCTTCCCTCCCTTTCTCTTCCTTTCCTCGATCTTCTTTCACCCTCCTCTCCTCCTCTCTCCCTTCCCTCCCATGCTCTCCCCTATCCCTATCCTTCTCCTCCTTCCTCTTCCGTCCCTTCTCCTCCTCCCTCTTCCCCTCACGACCATCCTGCCCACTCTCTCGATGCCCAACCTTATGCCTCCCTTTCTCCCTCCCCTCCTCCCCCTCATCCTCTCTCTCCCTCTTCCTACCACCTGCCTTGTCACGACCATGCCTATCTGTTTCTTTCTCCCCATCCTTCTGCCCATCCTTGTGCCTACTTTCGCGTTCCTTCCCACGCCCGTCCCCACGATCCCTTGTCTCCTCACCTCCAACCATTGACGCCTTTTCCTTATCACTACTTCGTCCCCTTACTTCTCTCTCTCTGTCTCTCCTTTCTTTTGCTTCCCCTTTTGGTCCCTCTCTCTCCCTCTCTTTCTCCTTCTCCTTCAACCTTTCTTTTTCTCGCTCCCTTTCCTTCTCGTGGCCTTTTCCGCTTTCCCTCTCCTCCCTCCTCTCCCCTCCTTTCCCTCCATCCTTCTCCCTCCTTTCCCTCTCCCGCCTCCTCAACTCATCCCCCTTATCATCTCTCTCCTCCCTTTCTCTTTCCTTCTCATGCCCCTTCTCCCTCCCCCCCTCCTTGTCACGCCTCCTCTCATTTTCTCTACCCCTCTCATGCCCCCTCTCCTTCTCTCCCCCCCTCTCCCTCTCCTTCTCTTTCTCCCTCTCCTTCTCCTTCTCCTTCTCCTTCTCCCTCCCCTTCTCCCTCTCCCTCTCCCTCACCTTCTCCCTCTCTCCTCTCTCCTTCTCCCCGTCCCCCCTGTGCACTTCTCTCCTTTCCCTCCCTCCCTCCCTTCCTCCGCTCCCCTGCCCCTCATGCAGCTCCTCCTCTTCCCGTTCCAATTGCTGCAAGTCTCTTTGTGACCCCCGCCTCACACCCATGCCTTTCCCTCGCAACCCACCCCTTTCACCCTCCTCTTCCTTCCCTATCTTCCCTACCTCTTTTCTCCTTCCTCCCTCTCCTCCCTCTCCTCCTCCCCCCTCCCTCAGATCCCCTATTGAGCCTCTCCTAACGCCCATGCCCCCAACCGCCCTTGCACCAACCCTCTCGGCCTCCTCTCTCACTTCCCCTGCCTCTCCCTTCCGTCTCTCCTCTACCTCCTCTCTCCCCTCTCTACCCTCTCTCCTCTCTCTCTCCTCTCTCTTCCCTCTTTTTCCACCCTCCTCTCCCTCCCCTCGCTCTAACTCATTCAAATCTCCTCTGGAGCCCTGCCGTATTCCCATTCCTGTCGTGTTTTGGATCGACTCAAAACACAACTCCTTTACATCTCCTCTGGACCCTCGTCGTACACCCATTCCTGTCCCACCACCCCTTTCACCAGCACCCTTATCGTTCCCCTCATCCCTCCCCTCACCCCTCCCCTCACCTCTCACCTCACGCCTCTCCATAGCCCTCCCCCTCCTCCACGTCTCCTCCCCCTCCTCACTCGCCTCGCTATCACTCAAATCAGACGCAGACAAAGACAGCTCCGATGATTCCTCACTGCTACTGCTGCTGCTACTGCTCCCGCTCTTCCTCCTCCCAGCCTCTGCAGACCTCTGTTCGGCAGCCACACCTGCAATGACCTCCCGTCCTCCCTTCTCAAGAGAAACTTCTTTCGAGTCTTGTGTTGGGAGTTCCCCCTGGCCTGCAGGTGTAAAGCCTTGTTGTTCCAAGTCCGCCCTCTGCTGCTCCTCTTTCCCGCTTGCACTGCCATGACCCTGCCCTCTCTCTCCTCCTGCTCCACTCGCTTTCTGAGGCGCCTCATAAGCTAAACCATCGTGGTTCGAACCCCTCTCTCCTCCTGCCCTACTCGCAATGAGCACGTCACTGTCTCTGTCTCTGACTCTAGTCCTGTCTCTTTCCCCGTTCCTCTCTGCACCTTTCCCTTCCCCATACCTTTCATCCTCTCCTGCTACCCCTGCTGGAATCTTCCTAATTCTAGCGTCCTCACTCGCCGCACTCTCGTCCCCTCCCCCACTATCTCTTCCCCTCCTCATGTCGTCCTTCACGCCACCCAATTCCCGCCTCTCCTCCCCCTCTGATCCTCCCATCTTTCCAGGATCTCTATTTCCTTCTTCTCCTTCTCTCTCTCGCTCATTGCCCCAATAACCCTGCTCTCCCTCGTCTTCGCTCTCTCCCTCCCCCCAATCCACCCTCTCCTCCTCCTCCCCCTCCTCCTCCTTATCCTCCTCCCCCTCCCTCTCTCTCACTCGCTCTCCCCTGCCTGCCTCCCCCTTCGTCTTTATCTCATTTCCTCCTATTCCCTCCGCCTCCCCGTTGCCAACCCCCGTTTCTATCACCCTAGCCCTCTCCTGCGGCTCTTGCTCCTCTTCCAACTCGTTTAGGTCATCCATCCAATTCTTCTCCGCATTATCACGCTCCTTACTATCACGCTCATCCCTATCACGCTCATCCCTATCACGCTCATCCCTATCACGTTCCCGCTCCTTACTATCACGCTCCTTAAAGTCACTCCCCCCGCCTCCATCAAACTCCCCTTCCTCAATCTCCCCCTCCTCTCCCCCCACCGCCATCCCCTCTTTCTCCTCCCATGCCCCACCGCCCATCTCCCCATCCTCCTCCTCATCAATACGATCATCACCACTCCCAACCGCATCTCTTTCCCTTCCAACCCCCACGTCACCCCTCTCCCCCCTCTCCTCCCTCACCCCCTGGTCCTCAAACCCCTCGTACCCCCCTCCCCTGTTCTCGCCCTCCTCCCTCTCCTCCCCATCCCACCCCATCGCTTCTTCCCCTTCTTCTAGTTCCCCAAAACTCGGCCGCACTATAGCCTCCGCTCCCAAACGGCTTCCATTGAACTCCCTTCCCCTCTCGCTCCTCTCGCTTCTCTCGCTCCTCTCGCGTGAACCGTCCTTTGAATAAGCGCCTCTTTCTCGTGACTTGTCTCTAGAAGAAGCGTCCTTTTCTATCGAGTTGTCTTGTAACGAAGCACCTCTAGCTGCACTCATTTCCACACACAGCGGGCTCCGACCAGCCTGGAAGCTCCTCACTCTCCGCTCGCTATTGTCACGCCCGTCAGAATCCCCCTTGCTCTGACTGTGACTGTGATTGTGGCTGTGCGAGGGCGAGTCCTTCTGCCAGTGGTGTGGGTATGGCCTACCCTCCCTCTCCTTCTCCCTCTCTCTCTCCCGCTCCCTGCTCCCTGCTCTCTCCATACTCCCCTTCCTCTCTCTGCTTCCCCAGCTCTCCACACTCCCCCTCCTCTCCACACGCCCCCTCTCCTCGCTTCTCCCCTCCCTGCCGCCCATATCACTCCCTCCCCGCTCCCTGCTGCTTCCGCGAAGCTGCTCCTTCTTATGCGGACTGCCGTCCGAACCCAATCGGGACCAGACCCCTTTACGCGTTACAGTGTTACCATCCCCATGATCCCGCTCATCCGTTCTCTCTTCCCTTTTCTCCTCCCTCCTCTCCTCCCTTCTCTCGTCCCTTCTTTCCTCCCTCTCCTCCCTCTCTTCCTCCCTTCCGTCCACCCGCCCATCCCTCCCACCTCTCACGTCGCCTTCACTCCTCCCCCCTCGCTCCGCCCAATCAGCCCCCCTGCTCCTCCCCATCCCCAGCTCGCCAGCCCCCCTTCCGCTTCCGTCCCTCCCCCACCGCCCCCCTCTTCCGCCTCTAAATCCGCCATCACCCCTGCCCTCCCTTCCAAATCTCCCCCTCCCACCACCCCAATTCCCGTCGCCGCCCCTCTCCTCCCTACCGAACCTCCCCCTCAGGCCTCCCATTCCCGAACCTACATCCCCCCTTCCACCCCCCCCACGGAACCGCGGCTCCCGGTCCTCTCTCCCCTCACCGCTTGCCTCCTTTCCCCCGTCCCGCGCCTCTCGTTCCGCACCTTGCAGATGCATCAGCGGAGTTCTTTCCCCTCCATGCGGGCGCATAGGCGAATCCCTGTCTCTGTCCCTGTCCCTGTCTCTGTCTCTGTCTCTGTCTCTATCCCTTTCATGTCCAGTGGCCCTCAGTCTCTCGCGGAGATCTTCATTTGAAACCCTAACTCCTCCTCCTCCTCTCCTGTCGCCGGGACCTCTCGGCGGTAATCCACGGTCGTCCTTTTCTTTGACACTTCTCGCCAAATCTCCACCGTCCCTTGGATGAGCTGAGGCCATTACCGGATCCCTCGACGAACGTTCCTGGTAGTTTCCCCTCCATTTCTCGCCATCGGAACAATCGACACCGTCCGATCTCCGTCCTCCCCCGCGCGTATCTCCAAAACTCCTCCCAGCCGTCGATCTGTCATCGGAATGATGCCTTCCAGCAACTCTGGCCGTTAATTCAGCAGACAGACCTTTTCGCTCTGGAGGTTCCGGATCCATCAAAACCGGGATCGGGAAACCCTAATGCACAAATTGATTAAAAAAGGAACAAGTTGGCCCACACCGAAATTAGGGAAATTAATGGAAAAATTAAACTAGGAAAATTGCAGGATCCACGAAAGCTAGTCAAACGTACATGGCCTCCAGTACGCGTCGGATCCGATCGGACGGTCCCGATTCAACCTCCGCCGCTCGTCCTAATCCAAGGCTGTTACAAACCTCCAATGCCCGCCGACGCAGCCAAGGGAAATGGCAGTATCGAGAAAAGAGACGCGTACGGATAGGATAAGAAAAGAATCTGGCGATTCAGAAGACCACTATTGACCAGAAAAACGAATTGGTAAGAGGAAAAACAACGGATGGTGGTGGATAAGGTAAGGTACAAATTGCATGCCCTGAGGTCAGAGTCTCAAGCAGGCTTCCCCAGCCCGGTGTCCTTCGACTTCACTCGCCTGTCGTGTGGAGAATCTTGAGGTTGGTGCAAAAGTTTTCAACGGGTACAGAGATTTTCCTCGTTAAGTAATTTTCACACTCTAAGAACTACGATGAAGCTGAGTTATAATTGATTTTACACTCTAGACAGCACATGCATATACATGGGATTTGTTCCTCTTATTGAACGATGCCTCTCCACAGCCTAAGTACTCTAGAAGTGAAATTCCTGCATGCTAATAACCAGCACAACAATTAATACAAATGTCATCTTTCAATTTCTAGGTATTCAATTCAAACTTCACTCACAAAACAGGATCAGCACTTATTCACACTATGATGGTCACTTCGTGTGACTCACCCTACACTACTGCACCATTCTAAGCAAGTGCGCTACAGTAAAAGCACCATCTCAGGTTTATAATCAAGACTATCAGGACACAAATCACACTCCATCTGAAACATGGACCACTTCGTTCCAGGAAGCTTCATGAGCTTCCAACATACCATTAGAAAACCATCGTCCTGTCCTTTTCTTTTGAAGGACCCAGCTGGAGCTAATTTGTATTACTCACTACTAGCAAACGGTCAGCTTCCTTAGCTGTCCTAACTATTTGCTGCTGGGGCAGCAGCAGCAGCAGCATCTGCAGATGCATAATTATCGTACTCATCCCCTTTATTGCCTCCCTCGTTACCATCCTCACTACTCAGAGTAGCTGCTGGTACATCCTCTGCAAGTTCATTGCTACGGTCATGAGGGTCATAGGTGTCGTACAGGACGGGCTGATTCGAGGTTTGAGAGGTCTCAAAGAGGGTGTTGCTGGAGTCGGGAGGATTGTACGTGTCGTATGGAAGGGGCTGGTTTGAGAGCAGCAGGGATCCGTAGGGGGAGTTGTCAGTGGTTAGGGTTGAATGCTCCTGGTCATGCTGTGGGAGGGGAGGTGGGAGCGGGTAGGGAGGGAACAGAGGGACGAGGGATGAGGGTTAGAAGGTTAGGGAGTTTAGCAGCAGTGTCAGTGGTTAGGGTTAAATGCTCCTGGTCATGCTGTGAGAATGGAGAGCGGGGAGGGAGAGCGGGGAGGAAGAGAGAGAGGGGAGACAGTGGAGGGAGGAGATTTGAAGGGAAAGAGGAGGTTTGTGCACTACAGTCACATGAATTACTACAACACAACACTCGATACAGTCACACTCACCAGAGCCTCCATTCACTCACCCTACTTGCATACAATGCTCCAGTCACACTCGATACAGTAACACACTCACTAAAGTTACACTCACCAAAGCCTCGAGTCTCTTCAACAGCTGCACCACCTCCCCCATGGGGGGGCAGTCTGTCGGTTCAGCTGCCTGCCATACACCTGCCTGCCATACACGCCTTACTCATAGCAGTCACGCACATTACTTGCACACAATGCTCCAGTCACACTCGATACAGTAACACACTCACTACAGTCACACTCACCAGGGCCTCTAGTCTCTTCAATGACTGAACCACCTCGCCCATGGGGGGTCGGTCTGTCGGCTCAGCAGCCACACACGCCTGTGCCACGGCTGCTGCTTGCTCCAGATCACTAAGTGACACCTGGCGGTGCGATGGGAAGGGGGGGAGCATTATACAGATGAGACTGGGGGCGCATTCCTGGTGTGTGGAGGGGGGAGAGGGAGGGTTCGTTGCCTGTCGGTTCAGCCGCCACACACGCCTGTGCCACGGCTGCTGCTTGCTCCAGATCACTGGGTGATACCTGATGGTGTGACAGGGAAAGGGGGGAGCATGTACAAATGAGAACAGGGGAGGGGAGGGAGTTGCACATTGATCAACGCCCATCAAGCCCGTACACAAAGGCATTTGGCCAAGCAAAATTGGTGGTAGCCTCATGGAGCGCATACCTACCTAGGCAAACAAACAGGCCACCAGAGTCAAGAAAATCCAAGAGAGTCTCACCTGGGAAGCAATCTTGGGGTCCAAAAGCTCGTCTAGTCTTCCAGCATTCCCCAAGCGAGGTCGCGCCCACGTGACTAGTCTTCCAAAACACCTGGGAAGCTCGTCTAGTCTTCCAAAACACCAGGCAAACACCTGGGAAGCTCGTCTAGTCTTCCAAAACACCAGGCAAACACCTGGGAAGCTCGTCTAGTCTCACCTGGGAGCGTCTCACCTGGGAGCGTCTCACCTGGGAAGCAATCTTGGGGTCCAAAAGCTCGTCTAGTCTTCCAGCATTCCCCAAGCGAGGCCGCGCCCACGTGACTAAGTTCTCATCTCCAGGGGGTTGGCTCATGTCGACGGGCTTCCTCCCTGTGAGCAGCTCCAGAAGCACCACGCCATAGCTGTACACGTCACTGGCTACCACGAGATGCCCCGTCATTGCGTATTCTGGGGCCACATAGCTGGGTAGAGGGAGAGGGAGGGGAAGGGAAGGGCAGGCCGCAGGGGGGGGGGGGGGGGGGGGGGGGTGATGTCCACAGGCTTCCTCCCTCCTTGTGAGCAGCTCCAGCAGCAGCACGCCATAGCTGTACACGTCTGATGCAACCACCAGGTGACCCGTCATGGCGTATTCCGGGGCGACATACCTGGGAGGAATGGGGAGGGGCAGGGGCAGGAGTGGAAGAGGCGGTGAGAGTGGGGCAAGGGCTGGCTCATGTCGACGGGCTTCCTCCCTGTGAGCGGCTCTAAAAGCGCCACGCCATGGCTGTACACGTCTGATGCAACCACCAGGTGACCCGTCATTGCATACTCTGGAGCGACGTAGCTGGGTAGAACGAGAGGGAGGGTAAGGGAAGGGCAGGGGAGGGAGGAGGCAATGACGGGGGCGGCTGGGTCATGTCCACGGGATTCCTGCCTGTGAGCGGCTCTAAAAGCACCACGCCATAGCTGTACACGTCACTGACAACCAGGAGGTGACCCGTCATTGCGTACTCTGGCGAGAAAACTGTTCTCGATGAATAGTTGTAGGTAGAGCCACACCACAGGCATTGCAAAGGCTTCCCGCCTTCCTGCGTCTCACCCAATCACACATGCCCCTCACTGACTCACCCAAACGTGCCCATGACTCGGGTCGAGATGTATCCCTCGGGTCCCTCCGGTGCAGGTTTCGCCAGCCCGAAATCCGCCACCTTAGCGAGAAAGTCATTCTCGAGAAGGATGTTGGAGGACTTGAGGTCACGGTGAATGACAAGCGGCTGAGAGTCCTCGTGCAGATACGCCAGCCCCCTCGCTGCCCCTAGCGCTACCCTCATGCGCGTTGCCCAATCCAGCACGATCTCCTTGGAGAAGGAGCCTGGTGGGGGAAGAAAAGGAGGGGAGGGGAGGGGAGGGGAGGGGCAAGGGAGGACTTGAGGCCGCAGTGAATGGCGAGCGGCTGTGAGTCCTCGTGCAGATATGCCAGCCCCCTCGCTGCCCCTAGCGCTACCCTCATGCGCGTCGCCCAATCCAGCACGATCTCCTTGGAGAAGGAGCCTGGTGGGGGAAGAAAAGGAGGGGAGGGGAGGGGAGGGGAGGGGCAAGGGAGGACTTGAGGCCGCAGTGAATGGCGAGCGGCTGTGAGTCCTCGTGCAGATAGGCCAGCCCCCTCGCTGCTCCCAGTGCCACCCGCACGCGTATTGCCCAGTCCAGCACAATCTCTTAGGAGAAAGAGCCTGGAAGGGGGGGAGGTGGAGGGGAGGGAAGGTGGAGGGGAGGGAAGGTGGAGGGGAGGGATGCGGTGGCAGCAGGGGAGAGAGAGAAGGAGAGCGAGTGGGGAGGTTGGCGTGAAAGTCGTTCTTTGGGAGGATGTTGGAGGAGTTGAGGTCGCAGTGAATCGGGGGGGGCTGTGAGTCCTCGTGTCGATAGGCCAAGCCCCTCGCTGCCATCGATGGGATGGGAGGGGATGGGAGGGGGTGGGAGGGGGTGGGGAGGGATGGGAGGGGATGGGAAGGGATGGGAGGGGATGGGAGAGGATGGGAGGGAATGGGAGGGAATGGATGCAATGGGAGGGAGCATGGGACAGTAGCCTATGAGCTTCACGAGGTTGCAGTGGTGCAGGCAGCTCAGCATCTCCTCCTCCACCACAAACTCGCCCAGGGAGGGGAGCGTACCCACCCACCCACCATGCAATGAGACATATCCTGAGACCTAGAAAAGCAAAATGCAAGGGGAAGGACACCCACCATGCAGCCAGGCTTCCAGGCTGCCGTTGGAAACGAGCTCATAACACAGCAGCTGGTGGTGGTGGGAGGCGCAGTAGCCTATCAGCTTGACCAGATTCCGGTGGTGCAGGCGGGTCAGCATCTCCACCTCCACCACAAACTCGCTCAGGGCACAGAAGGGAAGGAAGGGAGGGCACTTACCATGCAGCCAGGCTTCCAAGCTTCCGTTGGGAACAAGCTCGTAGCACAGCAGCTGGTGGTGGTGGGAGGCACAATAGCCAATCAGCTTGACCAGATTCCAGTGGTGCAGGCGGGTCAGCATCTCCACCTCCACCACAAACTCGCTCGGGGAGGAGGGTGGTGGGGCACCCACCCATTCACCCACCCACCAACCCACCCGCCCACCTACCCACCCAGCCAGCCGCCATGCAAGCAGACGTGCTAGCAGCAGGAGGAGGAAAACATACCATGCAGCCAGGCCTCCAGGCTCCCATTGGGAACAAGCTCGTAGCACAGCAGCTGGTGGTGGTGGGAGGCGCAGTAGCCAATCAGCTTGACCAGATTCCGGTGGTGCAGGCGGCTGAGCATCTCCACCTCCACCACAAACTCGCGCTCGCCCTGCCCGCCCCCTCCGCCTCCCCCCTTGGCGCGCCCGCTGCCTGTCATGCGCAGGCGGGTGAGCCGCTTCACTGCCACCTCCTGCCCGTTCTTCAGCCTCCCCCGGTATACTCGCCCGAACCCTCCCTCCCCTAGGTAATTGGCGTGATCAAAACTGGGAAGATTCAAGAAGAAAGGGGGAAGGGGGGGGGGGAGGGGGGGGATGAGGAGGTGACTCGCAGGCGGGTGAGCCGCTTCACTGCCACCTCCTGCCCGTTCTTCAGCCGCCCCCGGTACACGCGCCCGAACCCTCCCTCCCGTAGATAGTTTCCGTGGTCGAAACTGGAGCAGGGGTGGGGAAAGGAAGAAGGGAAAAGGGGGTGAGCTGAGGGGGTGCTCCCGCTGCCGGTCATGCGCAGGCGGGTGAGGCGCTTCACAGCCACATCCTGCCCGTTCTTCAGCCTCCCTCTGTACACGCGACCGAACCCGCCCTCTCCCAGGTAGTTGGCGGGGTCGAAACTGGGGGGCAAAGGGAGAAAGGAGGGAGGAAGGGATGAGGGGGTGGGTGGGCGGGTGAGGCGCTTCACTGCTACCTCCTGCCCGTCCTTCAGCCTCCCTCTGTAGATGCGGCCGAACCCGCCCTCCCCTAGATAGTTCCCGTGATCAAAACTGTGAGGGGGTTGGGGAGTAAACGAGGAAGGAGAGAGGAAGGGACGAGGGGGTAGGTGAGTGTGTGAGGCGCTTCACTGCAAGCTGCTAGCACCGTACATAATAGTAGCCTCTGCCAGCACCGTACATAATAGTAGCCTCTGCCAGCACCGTACATAATAGTAGCCTCTGCCAGCAACGTACATAATAGTAGCCTCTGCCAGCACCGTACATAATAGTAGCCTCTGCCAGCACCGTACATAATAGTAGCCTCTGCCAGCAACGTACATAATAGTAGCCTCTGCCAGCACCGTACATAATAGTAGCCTCTGCCAGCACCGTACTTATTAGTAGCCTCTGCCAGCAACGTACATAATAGTAGCCTCTGCCAGCACCGTACATAATAGTAGCCTCTGCCAGCACCGTACATAATAGTAGCCTCTGCCAGCAACGTAACTATTAATAGCCTGTGCCAGCAACGTACTTATTAGTAGCCTCTGCCAGCTCAGCAAATGTGAAGACTCGAACGCTCATTGGCCGAGGGAGAGAGGACTGATTCGTTGACTCGGCCACTGGTGTCTCCTGCATTCCCATTCCACTCCCCCTGTCAACCCCACTGCCACCACCACCGTTCCCTCCACCTCCCTCTCCCCCTCCTCCTCCTCCCCCTCCTCCTTCTCCACCTCCTCCTCCCTCTTTTCCTCTTCCGCTACCATTCTCACTGTTGTCACACCCGTGATAGCCATCCGCAGCACCATTCCCTTGGGAACCTTCCTTTCGCTCTGACGCATTTTGGGCAGCAGCAGCGGACGAAGCTTCCCTCACCATCTGACGAATCTTCTCCTCCTCCCCCCCTTTCTCCATGTCCCTACCGCCTTTCCCCCTCCCAGGCACGCAGCAGCAGCAGTATATCGTGATTATAACGATCAGCGCTATAAGCACCGCCGCCCCTGCCAGTAACCCTATTAGTGCTACCGTGCTTATACCGCTGCTGCTACCACTGCTCCCATTGCCCTCACTCCCGCTATTACTGCTACTGCTGCTCTCACTGCTACTGCTGCTGCTGTTGCCGCTGCTCTCACCACCGTTAGATTTGTTATCTGTGCCATTTGAGTTGGATTGATCCGACGGTGGCGCAGGTACGGGGGCTTGGGGTGGCGGAGGGGGAGGCGGAGGGGGTGGGGGACCTGGCGCAAATGGGTAGGAAAAAGCGGCACGAGGGGGAATGGGGTCATAAGGGGGAAGGGGATCACGAGGGGGAAGGGGAGCATAAGGGGGGAGCGGAGCACGAGAGGGAAGGGGGGGCATAAGGGGGAAGCGGAGCACGAGAGGGAAGCGGGGCATAAGGGGGAAGCGGAGCACGAGAGGGAAGCGGGGCATAAGGGGGAAGCGGAGCACCAGGGAAATGCGGGAAAAAGGACATGCGGGGGAAGAGGAGCACGAGGGGAAAGGGGGCATGGGGAGGAAGGGGAGCACGAGGGGAAAGCGGGGAAGGCAGGAAATGAGCGCGAGGGGGAGCGGGAGCGTACTGTGAGGGGGTGGTGGCGGCGGCGCTAGTTGCACCAGGCTGATCAACGTGTAGTTACTGAATTCGCTGGGGTCGAGCAGCACTCAGCAGCTACTCAGCACAGCGGGAGGGAGGGTGCTTACAGCGGAGGTGCTTACTGTAAGGGGGTGGCGGCGGCGGCGCTAGTTGCACCAGGCTGATCAACGTGTAGTTACTGAACAAATTCGGGTCGAGTGTAACTTGTCGTCGCGAAAGCCGCTGGCGAGTGCTGTTCACGAACTTTGGCGAAAACGTGACGTCGTGGCTCGGCAGTAACCATAGGGTTACCGCCGCGCTGCTACCATCGGTTCGCTGCAGCGCATTTCGCTGGATTTGATCTTCCTGCAAGGATAGCTCCCGCGCAAGAACCTGGATAAACGGCCGGAAATTTTTCTCGATATCCGACGCGTTAGCAAACTCAATCTTCAACTCCAACGGCCGCACGCACGAGCAATTCCCCTTGGTCGCGGAGGGACTCAGCGCCTCCCACTCGCGGTTTCCGCACGCGCCCGCGCAAATATCCGCTGCTGTCGCTCTTTCCGCGAGAGAGCGGGGCCGCGTCCGACCGTTTGAAAAGGAATCAGGAGTAAGAGAGGGCTCAGATACAGACCCAGGCGTCAATGCGCTTCGGACGACGGGTACGAGGAGGGATAGAAGCACCGGGAGCAGCAGCAGCAACAGCTTCAGCCGCCGATTCCGCCATGGACCGCGGTTTGACTCAGGATGAAGACAGCCTCGGGAGCTACGACCGCTATATACGCTTCTCGGCTTATCAGAGCTGGATCGTCTGATGTTCCGATTAGAGCTGCTTCGATTGTGGGCATTGAGGCTCGAGCAGAGCCCAGCCTTCTTAGATGCGTCATGAGAATTAACACTTACGTTCTGACACTTAAACTTAAGTGCGTAACAATCTGAGGCGACATTGTGGCTGGAATGTTCTCTACTGCTGGAACTTAACTCAATTGCATCTCTCTTAGATGTAATGATCTGGTCGACAACGAGGCGTGGCACCGTGACAGTCATATGGCTGCTTTTCCAGGCGCCTCAATAAACGAGCGGCAACGCGGTTGTATCAGTCATATGGATGCGCCAGGGTGGTCCCTGGTTACGGACAGATGGTCCAAACAGGGAGTCGGGAATTGCGAGCTAGGATACGGGTGGGATGCACCGATGGGATGCACCAGCGCACCAACAGCGCCTATACAACGCGAATCGAGCGTACAAATCGCTGTTAGTGACGACGGGCTAATCGTGCGCGAACGTATTTACTATAAGACAGTAGGTCCTACTAAGAAAAAATATCTGGGCTCTGGAGTTTCGGGCTGTGGTATAGACAGGATAGTCAGGACACCACGTACGGAAATAGAACCTACCTGTCGGGCACGCAACAAATAAATTTACAGATAGAGACTAGTCAACGATCATGAATAATGTGGTCACAGGATTCAGTACAGTTTGTGCTTGAACGCCCCAGCACATAAGCCAGTCAACTCCAGGTCCAGCTTCCTACAGCATGGTATGACAATGGCAACCCCTATGTTGTGGTATATGCATGGTGAACCAGAGCAACCTAGGGGATGGGGGCCTGGGGCTCGAAATAAGTTCCTACATGCGAGTACAACTGTTCCGAACAGCGGGTGACCTTGGGAAAGGGCTTTGATTTGGGCCTTTCAGGTCCGTTTCCGGACCAGCCCAGCCGAACCGGAAAGGAATAGAGAATGAAACTTTCAGTACAACTCAGGTGGTGGCGCACGCACCACAAGTTCAAGAATTTTCTGCCCAGAGCCTGCGCTTCGTCTATTCAACAGCGGGAGTAGGTAGAACACCAAAATTTTGGCCCACAACGAGTCGTTCTGGCAAGAATTTGACAATGGGGGCAGCGACTTCCGCCAAACCAAAATCCTGGTCTGGGAAGGCGCCGAATCGCGACAACATTGGGCTTCGCGGTTCGAGAAGTTCGAGCGGCTGCCGCAACAGAATTCCACGAAGCACCCCCCTCCGCGTACTGTATCCCTGCGGTGGGAAACCGACCAATCACTGCTGAACGACTGTGATGAAGTGTAGTGTTTGAGGTTGTTACGAGTGCAATGGAGTAAGTGAACGAGAATTGCACTACCTAAGCAAAAATACAATGAGCGAAGGCATGAGCGAAGAATATATAGCGAAACTACAGTGGTAACGGTAATGGACTGTGGTTGTCGCGTGACGGGCCTGGGACTGAGGTTTGGGAAAGTGTCGAAGCGGAGGCCCGGAGCGCGGGTTACCAGCCGAGCCGTGAGGTTGGGGTGCGATGTGCGAAAATGGCGGGCTGATTGTCGATGCGAGGGTCGCGAGTGGTAACGGTGCTGACTGTGGTGCTATAGTGATGTACGCGTTGAGCAGGGATGCGAAGTAAGGAAAAATGATTTTCCTTACACTACCCCTAAGGAGGTCTTCCTTACGAAAGTGCGTGGACGTCCCTGAAGTTTCGGCTGCGCAGATATTCGGTGAGAACAGGGTGGTTTTCGATTCTGTCCAGGGGAACCCAATTGTCTTCGGTGGGTGTATGGTCTTTCCAGCGGATCAGGAACCCGATCTTTCGGGCTCCTTGAGGGTCACGAACTCTGTGGCTCAGGATTTTGTCGGGGGCGATGATTGGTTCGGTTGGCGGTCGTGCCATGCTGGCTGGGCGATTGCGTGGGAGTTGGCTTGAAGATGGGACGTAGGGGCGAAGCAGGCTGACGTGGAACGAGGGGCTGACGTACCAGTCAGCAGGGAGGAGGAGGTGGGCGGTGACGGGTGTTATCATGTGACTGATACGAAATGGCCCACAGTATCGGGGGCGGAGTTTGGGTCTGATGGGCAGTCGGAGGTTCTGGGTGTCGAGTAAAACTAGGTCGTCGGGCTGGTAAGTGGAAGGTCTACGGGCGTTGCGTTTAGCGATGATGTTCGATTTTTTTATTGCGTCTGCTGCCCTGGTCCGTGCCGCTTGCAGAATTTCAGCGAACTGTTGCGCACGTGGAACCGGGTTGTCGGGATTCGGGGTCATGGGTACTGTTGGGTCTTGTCCGTAATTCAGGTAAAACGGTGACTGTTGGGTCGTGGCGGGTGGGGCGTTGTTGTATGCGAATTCGATGAGTGGCAGTTGTTGCTCCCACGTGTTTGGATCGTCGCACGTGGCCCTAATGAGTTGCTCCATGGTTTGATTTGTCCGTTCTGTATGTCCGTCTGTTTCGGGGTGATACGATGAACTAAACTGTAGTCGCGTGCCGAACTGCTGCCACAGGTTCCGCCAGAAGTTGCTGGTAAACTTCGTGTCTCTGTCGCTCATGATTGATGCTGGTATCCCATGCAGTCGAACGACGGTAGAGATGAAGAGGCGGGCTGTTTCTTCGGCTGTGATTGATTTCTTGCAGGCTGCGAAGTGTGCCATTTTCGTCAGTCGATCAACGACGACTAGGATCGCGTCATTCCCACTCGCTCCAGCCGGTAACCCCGTGACGAAGTCCATCGTCACCTGCTGCCAAGCACGCTCTGGGGGTGGGATTGGTTGCAACTGTCCCGCCGGCCGCTTCCGGGTTGACTTCATGATCTGGCAAGTGGGACACGATGCCACGTGTCGCTGTACGTCGGTCAACATTTCGGGCCAATAATAATACCGCTGCAGCTGCTGCCGTGTTTTCTCTACTCCGAAATGTCCCGAGGTCACTCCGTCATGTGCCTCCTGTAACAGTAATTCTCGTAGCAGTGTGTACCCTGGTACCCAGATGCGTTCGGTCCCAGCTTTTACATAATAGATTCCCTTGGCTGCTGCAAATTGCTGCGAGTTTCCTCCTGTGAAGAATGGGTCCCTTTGGTATCCGTGGGTAAATAGTCCTGTCAGTAGCGGGCTGGTCTGGGCGAGTAGTATCGCATGGATCTGGACAGTGGGGCGGGTCAGTGCGTCGGCGATATTCGAGGCTCCTTTTTTATAGGTGACCGTGTAGTGGAAATTTGACTCGAGGAAATCGAGCCACCGAATCTGTCGTGGGTTGAGGTGGGGCTGTGCGCGGAGGTATTGTAGGGATCGGTGGTCTGTCCGTACTGTCACGTCTGCGCCGGTCAAGTAGCAGCGCCACACTTTGAACGCATTCACGATCGCGAGCATTTCGCGGTCGTGTATCGTGTAATTTCGTTCGGGCGGATGCAGTTTTCGTGATTCGTATGCGATGGGCTGTAGGCCGTTGCTGAAGTCTTGCAACAGTTCGGCTCCAATGGCGATGTCGCTTGCGTCTGTAACATCTTCGAAGGGGCGATGTAGGTC